TGGTTAGAATTAGATAGAACACAAAGAGTGGATGCACCTGCGCCATTGCAAACGATTTTGAGCCATGTCATTCAAGGTCTCTAACCATCGATTTTTATCATCTTGTGGACCCCAACCAGGTAGCTTAGTTTTCTTCCAACATATTCCTACACCACAAAACATAGATCGTCTAGGAAGTCTGTGCTTAGGCATATGTAACACATGTCCCAACCACTTCAACTGACGAAGTTTCAATACTTCACCTTTTGATTTGCCATCCCTACCTAGTACTCGTTTCCTAACGACACCATTGCTTACTCGGTTGTCCCACGATATACGAGCAATGCTTCAGAGACACCTATGATCGAAAACCTGGAAGCTGTGATTATCTTCTCTGATTGGCCATGTTTCCCATCCGTATAGTAGGACGGAGCGAATTACTGCGCAGTACACTCGTCCTTTAGTTAGCAAACAGATATCTCGCCTTCGCCATAGGTAACGCAGTTTGGCAAAAGCCAGTCGCTATTCTAGAACTAAGATTTCTTTCGATGAATTAATTCAAAGGCTGTTATGTTCATCTATCTACCGTCGGCCTTTTAAAGAGGGTACACCAATAAAAGTTTGCTACTCAAACCTTTCCACTTGTCTAGTTATTATCAGTTCACAGCGATAATGGTTAAAAGGGAGTCATTGGTTAGTGAATATTGTGTGCAGATGAAATAACTACGAACTGCATATATTACGGATATATTAATAAAAAACAACTGTCCAAGTTAAAAATGACTATCACCCGACAAACAACTTTAAACTATCATCCCATAAATTGTTTCCAAGTTCATAACTGCTAGTTTCTATTAAATATTTTCTTTGTATGAAAATATAATTTTCTAACTTGCTTAAGTGTACTATATTGATTACCATTTATTCACTTCAGGTGGTTCTCCATATTTGGCTGCTAAGATAAACCAAGCTAAAGATGTACTAGAATCGAATAAAAGTTGAATACCGCTAACTCCATCCACTGTAATATATATACATTATCAATAATTTTATTTTGTAAGATACAAATTATCTTCCAGTTTTTAAACTGTAAGCGTATAGTTTAAAACATGTATATTATTAGATAGTAGTCTTCTGAATAGATGTACTTTATGATTTAAATAAAACTTATTTGTATGTAAAGTTGTGTTGATTTTGATGCGGTTCTTTTCAAACTAACCGTGTAGAGTAGTGCGGTTATACAGAGAGACATTACGACGAATCCGGTAGCTATATCTACATCAGTCGATAACATAAAAAGTAATTTTGTACATCATTGAGCACTTATAAATTACTTCACTGAAATATCGACCTTTAAAATCATAGTTTATATTGTAAGTGGTCGAACACCGAGAAAGAAACATACGTGGATTTTATTGAGGCCGATTCGGTCGGGCCGTTATAGCAGTAAGAGTTGTATTCTCTGAATCTACTATTGACCAGTTCACCTATATTTCCTATAGGACCAGTGATTTATTTTCCAAATGCCAGTGACTAGTGTACAACAAGACTGATGATTATTGATCCTTGAGTTCGTCTCAACGTAGAGCTCCATCAGAATACAAAGATGGAAATCAAATGAACTCTCGACTGTACTCCATCCAATGATTGCTCGTAACTCATACAATAATATACATGAAGTGTGTGATGACACATTAACGCATTTAGGAAATTACATGTTGTACATAACTTATTCGTTAGTGACAGAAAAACCAGAGTAATTGGGGGGAACAACTAGTAATAAATCTGGAATAGTACACCAGTGATATATGTGTTAAACGAAAACCTTAAGATAGGGAATACAAAATGTAGGAGTCTATTAATTATACAGAATAATGTAAACAATACTGCGTATGATAGTCCCAAAAGCTTTACTCACGCACTGTTGGCCCATTTTATCAGTAAGTGTCATAAGCTATTTACTTTTTGGATTCAAAGAAATGGATGTTTATGGAACAGGCATTAGACACGGCTTATTATCGTTTCTTGTAATAAAAATTATCTTTGAAGCCTGTAATACAGGATGAACAATCCGTGATAACTAGCTAATATTAACTATGATGTGAAATGACTTCGTGTTTAATGTACGGAACATATTATTGGAAACATGGATAAAAATTCATTCGTACCAAACACAGCTTATAGAATGAAGAATATAAAATCAGACAATTTTCCGCCTGTTTTAAGACAGAATTGAACATCAATAACCTTCATGAATTTATGTTGCCTTCAGACGTAATCAGTACAGAAAAGTTGTCATACACTAAATAAACTAGTGGGATTGTAGAAGTTACACCGAACATTGTTTCCACATACATTGATAAGTGTGGATGTCATAGTATGAAGGGCGGTTATGAAACCGATTAGCTGTTAATCGTTTATAAACAGAATTAAGGATTTGATCCATTTTTTGTACAATGGACAGTACAGTATTTTCCTCAAGATGCAATGTACAGTAAAGTTAACGTTTAGCTGCTAGATTCAAACGCTGACTTCGGTTTTTGGAACACTTGGTAGTATCTCCTGTCTTCAGACAATTTAGTACAAAAAGTACATGAATATGTACTTCGTGAATAACTTACGTCAAATCGACATGATGCTACTCACACCAGCATAAATGAGCAACGTACACTTGGCATTGAAGTTATCAACAGTATCGCCATCCTATAATACTAATTTTAAACTTAATCACATCTTCAGTTGTATGTAAGCAACCATACGTAACAGGACGAACTAATTCAAAGTCCAGTAAATATGTTTCTATCTGGACCCCTAAATGTATGTTTGATTTCTGAGTTGCTGTTTATTGATTAAAATAAGACAGGAATCTCCCGAGCTAGTTTTATCATAACAGTCTCCAATATCTTAGTAGCCTACTGTTAAACAAAATATATTGGCTTTTATTGACATGGCTATGGTGAGTTGTAAGAAACCGTAAAAAGTCATTTCCCTCGGTTCGTATGCATAGGTCATTATCTATCGGTGGCAATGCGCCAAATGATAAAACAAACTACTATCATCATTACGAAAACCAGTATGCTGCATTTGCAACATGAGGCTCGTAATCCGCTTGTCTAAACCTTTAGGTTATTGATAATGAGCATTACTTCGGAATAATCTGGAATACTAGTATGACGTATTTAGTCGATTTTTTTAAAATGATAGCATCGTCACCTTATATTGATTATGATAACACTTCATTATCACTACCCATCAGTAGATAAGTAAGCAATTTGTTCACAGACACTTTTTATTCCAAATACTGGAAAAACACTAGTTTTACTCGGAGCAAACATACCTTGTTTGAATATGAACAATGTCAAGAAGTTTACATACTAAGCTTACCGGACATTGGATATAATTACGATATCCATAGTTGTGAAAGTGGTAAATTTGGCACCTAAAGTACACCTTGATTTATGTTTTAAAATGAGTTACTAATAGCATATTTACATAACCTAAAACTTACAATAAGCTCATCAGACTACAGTAATGATAATAATAGTATTTGGTAATAAATCCCGTTCTCACAACAATTAGGAACCGTAATTGATAGTTGGATTTTTAAAAATCACTTAAAATGTGCTACTAATAGTTTATGCTTACTGAGATGAGTTTATGCGAAGCGATATTTGAGTGAGAGACAAAACAGGATTCTTGTAGGCTTTCTCCGATTACATAATGAGGTAGATACATCAAAGTGAAATGTGCTCAGATAGTGTGATTGCTTCTCATAACTGAGAAACTAAACACTAATCCAAAAACCTACTCCTCTTTACATACTAATCATTGCGATTTCACAAAAACTTGACAAAATTACATACCTAACTGGAGTGTGTAGACCGCTTCACTTATCTGAGGAGTCTCACCAGTGCTGATAGCCTGGTGACTGACGAAATCTCGACATGGATACAGAAGGCTCGATTTGCTTTTTCCAAGTTATGGCGTAGGCGAGATATCCATTTGCTGACTAAAGGACGAGTGTACTGTGCAGCAGTTCGCTCCGTCATCTTATATAGATCCGACACATGACCGGTAGGAGTAGATCTTCGTAGGTTACTAGTATTTGATAACAGATGTCTCCAAGGCATTGCTCGTATATTCTGGGATAACCGAGCAAGCAATGCTGTCGTTAAGAAACGAGTACTGGGTAGGGATGGCAGGCCAAAAGATGAAGTAGTGAGACTTTGTCAGTTGAGGTGGTTGGGACATGTGTTACGTGTACCTAACCACCAACTGCTTCAACGAGCAATGTTTTGTGGTGTAGGAGTAGGTTGGGAGAAAGTGAGGGGCGGCCAAACCAAAACATGGCAGAAATCCATAAAGTCATTGACAAGTGGACTGAGTCATGTTTGTAGATATAGACTACCTGGTTGGGGTCCGCGACACGAAAGTTACCAATGGTTAGAGACCTTGAACGACATGGCTCAAAATCGTTTGGAATGGCGTAGGTGCATCCACTCGTTATGTCCTCTCAAATCCTAATCTTCTGGATTCATCAACACCTGTCTTTCTAAACTTATCTCACTGAATTATACTTCTTGAATAGTATCTTCGATCCCTAATATTCTCCATTACGAGTAATTCTTGTACTATCTCCACCACTATGGGGTTTGAACTGACGGTGGCGTCTCTGTGCTTATGTGGTATGGCAACTTGAACTAACGTATTTACGTGCGTACGAAGTTCTCCGTTGTAACTGAATGAGTGACTGACCATAACTGGAGCATTACTCATATTTGCCTATAATAAAGGAGCAAAGGTGAATACCCTTTACTTCTCCAAACCTATAAAATTAAGCGATAATAAGGAAAAACAAAATGTGTCAATGTATGAAGAAGTTTTTTTTTCTCGATCAACTAGCAATGGATAGGGGCTGTTTAGTTGATCAGTGATATATGATGCAATCAGTAGAAAATCTTATTTTATTGTCAAGGACTAAATAATTATTTCTTTTTTAGTCAGTGAAAGAACACACTACATTACCATGAAACTGTTTTATTTATTACATAGTCATAAATAACTATGTTAGAAATATACAATAAATAGAACCGATCAAGATTACTTTTTTTTTTTCAAATAATACATTGAAGGCTATCAGATATATATTATGCCTTAATATATTTTCCATTTTAGTGCACAAAAATATTTTAATTTTTTATACAAGTTAATTGATTTAGAGATCAGAAGTAGTTAAATCTCATCTACATCATCGATACCGAGTTCAGGAAAGTTACCAGCTTCAACATATTGCGGCTTTACGAATGCACCATACTTTTCTGGACATTGAAAATATCGTACTCCATCAATACTGCAAACGAAAATATATAAAACGAATGTTTAGTAGTTCATTTACATAACCTAAAAGTTAAGATAATCTCATCAGACTAGTGTTTTTAATAATAGTATTTGTCTTATGCTCGTCACTTGATATGCTTGAAACTATCACGAGTTCACCTTAGTCGATAAACCAGAACGAGACAATGAACCAGTGACACGGTAGGCTACTCTAATCCGTTGCCCCAAACAACTGAAGAAAAAGTCTCAATATATCGTAGAGAGTGTATTCTACAAACACCCAGAAAATATACTGATCTCAAACACACGAATCGCGTTTATTTATGCATCATAGAAACGTCCTCGGGAGAGCCACAAAAATAGCCTACTAAAATAACATATCAACCAATCACAGCCAAGGATTTTCCTGGTGGGAAATTAAATCTCAAGGCCAAATGATCAGCCCATGGATAAAGCCCAAAACTAAGACATTTGTTAAGTGAGCTCTGGGGATCTAACGTCCCCAATAATTTGGTATTAAATCTCGTCATTACAACAATTAGGAACTGCAATTGATTGTTGGATTTTTAAAAATCATTACGTTTTGTTGATCGAAAGTGTTAGGTAGTGACTATAATCCCCAAAAGAAAGGACACAGGTCACTGGAAATTTATACTAAACTGATTTGTGCCATTGTTTATAAACGATTTCTAGACTAGCACTGTCTAGTGGTATCAGCAAAAAGGCTCCAAGATTAAATTTCTTCAAATTGTACATTTCAATTTGTAAGTTGAAAATTAGATAACTAAATTAAATGTTCGTATTATTTAGGAAATTGTTATTCTTGACATTACTAGCAGTTCTGCAGATATTAATCGACACTAATGAGGATATAAGAATGTTATGAAATTACACTATTAGATCAGAGAGGATGAGTGATATGACTTAGGATGAATTGCAGTGGCTCAGGCCCATTCACTTTTAGCCTTCTATTTGATTACAAACGTTGGATTTATTTTTTTACTTTATTCGACAAATTCATTCCTTTATTCTCGGATTATATCGTTTATATCTTGTCTTTTTCATTACTGATTAAACTGTCAGATTCATTGTATCGCACACACTTTTTGTCAATCTAAAAATTACCATTTTACGATTTATTATTCCTATTTTGTTTACAATCTCCCCTTGTTAGCGGGACATAGATTGGATTAAAGCATGCTCTATATACGAGTGTGTTGTTGCACGCTGATTGGCTCTTTCGTATCCAATCAGCGCTAGTTGACACTGTAAAACTGTAAATATGCTAACGTCTTTTTTGGATCTTCTTACTTCCATCTAACCTTCTTATAGGAATATAATCTGTTTCCTGTTCAACTGTGTTCTGATTTGGGGGAACGTTCCGAGTGAATTGGTGTGCGACAATACTAAGCATTCGGAATAGCTGGGTTGTAATAAAGAGAGAACTATAACACCCTTACTCAGCCACTTTTGGTTCATTTATGTATAATTGTTAATTTCCATTTATTGATGTGATGTTGTGGTCTGGTTTAGTATGCATATAAAAGAATTTCTGCAGTATAATAACGAAAAATCTTGGACCGGTCGTACTCAGTCTTTGTTCTTCCTTTTCGGTTTAGGCAAGTTAGTATTTGGGCCATCGTTTGAACAAGTCTTCCGCCCTTGTGGTATATCATCTACTTAAAGGTCATTTGAGGTTTTGGTTAGCGCGTAAGGACATACCACTAGGTTCTATGTTATGGTAAAATTGACTGATTGGATTATAGTACATATTACTTTTACAATATGTTTAATACATCAATGGAAATTTACACTTTAATTACTGTATTCTAAAATTACATGACTAAAACAGTTTTATCATTATTAATAACGAACGTTATCTCTGTTAGACTATATTGAATATATTGATTTTAAATCTCTATACGAGAATACATACATAACAAGTTTACTACCATAGATTTCATTTAAACAAACTGAAACAATATTGACGTGAAGGGTTATCATATTCTGTCTGCATTTAACAGTTGGAAGCTAACGTTTAGTGATAGGATATAACAAATAAACTATGTGAAGTATAGTTCTTAAATAAATCAAATTTCTAAAGCAATACAAAAACAGTTTACCTGCCATCGTTTCGCCCTAATGGTTCATCATAACGAACTCCAATCCAATAACCAGGTTTAAATTTGGTTTGTCCTGAAAAGATTAACGATAATTGTTTAGGTTTTGTTTTTACGAATTATTATCTGGCGCATTAAATTGTGATAAGTATTAATTTAAATTATAACATTATTGGGGACACGTTAGATCCCTAGAACTCACTTGATAAAGGTCCTAATTTTGGATTTCTATGTTTTCGCGCAAGGACTGATCATTTGACCTTGAGATCACATTTCCCACCCAGAAAACCCTTGACTGTCATTGGTTGATGTATTATTTTAGTAGGCTATTTTTGTGGCTCTCTCAAGGACGCTTCTGTGAAGTGTGCTTGTCAACCTCGATTTTCTGGGTGCTTGTAGGATACACTTTCTACGTCTTGTCAAGACAGATAGATACAACGTAGAACTTCGTACATAAGTACATCAGTTCAGGTTGCCATACCACGTCAGCACGGAGACGTAACTGTCAGTTCAAATTTAAGAGTGATAGCGATAGTAGAAGTATTAGCACTAATGCAGAAGATTAGGGAGCGAAGATATGATTCGAGAAGTATAATTCAGTGAGATAAATTTAAAAGGAGAAAGATAGAGATTATGAGGAGTTCAGAAGGTCTTATCAAGACATCTTCCTCTACTTAGTGGGGCCTTGGGACGCTTGGATTAGAGTAGTCTATCGTGTCAATGGATGATTTGTCTTTGCTCTCGTTTACCGACTAAAGTGAACTCGTAGTAGTTTCAAGTATATCAAGTGACGTGCATATTAAACATTCGAAATAATTTTGATGATTCAGAATTTTAATGCTTTTAAATAGAGAAAGAAGCACTTCTAGTTTTATTGCTATGAATGTAAAAAAAATGACTAAATTATCTCAAAGACAAGTTGTATCAACATCCATCAAGCTGTTTGTTTATCAATATATCTATCCAAAAGGATAGAATGCAGACCAAAAAACATATTGTACCGGGAATTTGAAGTAGACACCAAAAGGATGAATAACAACACATGGGAACAACTGGAAAAGAGAGCCCAGGTCAGAGTTGGTTGAAGATCCCTGGTCTATGGGATCCTTGCAGGGAAACAATACCTTGATGATATTTCCAAAGATCTAGCAATTTTTTGATTTATTTGAACGAAAATTCTCAATAAAAGTACTCTTTCTATTATTTGAATAATCGTTTTTAAAAATTTTGTGGAATTGTTTCTATTCTGACTTAGAATAAGGTTTATGCAGCAGGTTCTTGAGTTTTTTAAGACTAACTTAGCACTAGGAAATAACTATTTACAAATAGCAATAAATAACGTAAACGGTAACTGCCGGAAAAAGCATATTGAAAACACACTAACAGTTGAAACTTTCTTTGAGATGATGGAGAAAATTTGTGGAATAGGCGGATGATCATGATGGAGTTTCGTTTTCTGAGCTGGATGTTTTGTGCTGATAATGTCATTCAGAAGAATAATGAAAGCTCCACAACCAAAACATCCAGCTCAGAGAACAAAAATCCACCAGAAAATTTCTTTGCTTATGATTGGCAAAGTATTTTTCAATAAACCACGTTGGAAGCTTTGATTTAAATGTTTGACCTGAGAGGATAGCCGAGTAAAATGATGGATTTAACCTCCAGCTTATGTTTACTTATTCATAATTTGAAGGTAAATACCTTTGTTTTGAAGCACGGAAATATATTCTTTACTCAAATGAAGCTTATCTTTATTCGTTAGCCGTTCGTATGCCTTGGATAATCAAAAGTACATTAAGTATTACATTTCTTATCGCAAGTATCCTTTAGAATAGTTTTGTGGAATGATAACTTAATGGTTAGACGACTTGACTTTCAACTAACAAGTTGCAGATTTGAACCCCGTTATGTAACCAAACAATTTGAATGACCAAGATTGTATTACCAATCCTCTCAAGTATGTAGTGCCTCCGCATTTATTTGCATCCGCTTACATTTAATTTGCTTAAGCCCTTTCGATTAATTTATTTAACCAAGCCATTCGCTTAGCAACAACTTGTATGTACCATTGTTATTTTTTATTATCTGGTTTGTATGAGCTTATACGACTGAGCATTGCTTACGCTTACGCACTTACTCATCCTTTTCGCTTTAATGTTAATCTCTTAATATCCTCATGAACTCACATGATTTGTATCGCTTGCTTTTGACCTTGTCAATCATTCGTCGCTTTTATTCATGTGTGTGCATACCTATTTCGCTTGTCATATGTCTGTCTTATTCTTATCTGACTATATATTCTTAGTCATACTCTATCTCTTTGAGTTGGCTCACTAGCCTTCTCCACGTCGCTTCGTTCATTCGCTTGCATTGTAATCCAAAGAGTTGGCTCACTAGCCTTCTCCTATTCGCTTCTTCAATTCGCTATGTGGTGTGCCTCAAATAAACGTATACGATATTTGGAGTTCATCTTCTGATTTATAAAGCGACCATTAAGAACACGCAGTAAATCGACACACCTCAAGTACATAAATCTGTACTTTACAAATAGGTACACATCATCGGAGTAAAAATAGTTAGAAAATCGGATACTATCAATAGTCTAATTGAAAAAAACAAACAGATTTTTATATGATATACTTACCAATGAATTCTATTACACCTCGCTTTGTTGGTTGACCGGGAACTCGAACTTCACACCTAATGCATTAAATATATACGACTAGAATGTGAATCTGTTTAAGAAGTTTAAAAATGATATTAAAAAGTATAATGAGACTGAAATTCCACAAGTGATGGATTAGTCTCTCAATATAATCATCGTTGTAATTTATTATGTCCGTGTCACCTGTTACTTATGCTTGGGACGAGGAAATAATTCAATTAACATGACACGAAGTAAGAGTACAGAAGACTAGTTCAAGTGAAGAGTTATTCACTCCAAAATAAGACAACCTTATTCGAAAATACACTCATTTACATATGCATCTGTACACCCATTTCATTAAATAATTAGAAAAAAAGTCACAGATATATGGAATGATAGCAAAATCAAGCGATGCTTATCATGCTGAACATAGTTCACGTCAATTTAAAGCAAACAGTATCATACTGACAAAAATCAACATTATACCGAGTAAAATATCACGCTGAAATTACAACAAATATTACACTGAGCAACTATTGTATTGAAGAATTAAAAGCGGGATTAGTGAGGAAAAAAAGTGTAATCTATCTTTTCGTTCCATCATAACATGACTGGTTATCTTTATTCGTTACTGCGTTATTTCTGTGTCTTATTTACTTGACCCATGATCATACGAGTTACTGACTTTATTGTTATTCGAATAGACACGATAATTCAATGCAAATTGAATACGTCATCTGCGTAACATGGTCAATTCTCTGGTTTGCATAATACTTCCTACGATAAGTACTGATACATGTGATTCTAATGGAGTTCCTCTAGTCTATTTTTAAATCTGTCCATTGAAATGGGAAATACATTGTAGGGTGCAGTTTGCTGAGTTCTATTGAACTTGCTCACTGCATTTTTTATATGTTCTGAGATTTGTTTTTTGTCGCTAACTGATTGTGATATGATATCTTTTGTGAATACTACTCCTATCAAAGTAAACACAGTTGTGACACCCGATACCAATATTTGGTCGTCACGTAGTTGTAGGTATTTGAGCTTGACTAAAGATTCACTTAGATATCTCGATATCATGTAGAGTTCTTTCGACAAATTGTATATCGAAGTGATAGAAACTGACACGATTGGATGTAAAGGGGTATCTGGTTTACGGAATCGAATCATAATTAGGTCCGTTGGATTTCATTCGCCACAGATCTCATCTTATTTGTTCTTTTTTTGAAGAACTTGCCTAGAGCTTCAATTCGAATTTCAACAGTTTGCGCCGGTAAAGCAAGAGACAAATGAAGCATACCTCAAATGAGTATTTAAAATCTAGGGAAAAATCTATGTACGAGTGCCCAGGTTATATCGCTAATCGCCTTAACAGGTTAGACTAAAAATATAGTCAGTTAAAATGTATGGTTATTGAATAGTATTGTTTATTTGCACATATGTTCAATGACTACCTAAAATGAAGCAGAGAGTTGTGACAAATATCTTACGATTGAATTGCAACACGACTGACATACAGAGGAAAGGGTTGGAGAAAGATTTCTACCTACCGAGAACCTACAGATAATGACTCAGCGTTTTGCTTTTCTTGAAGTTCTGCCAATCGACGTTGTTCTTCTGCTCGTTTTATTTCCTCCGGATCAACTTCTTGGAACTGTCCAAGTTTGTTACGTCGTTTCCAAGCCAATACTGATTCTTTAAGAGTATAAACAGAGGTTATATTTACTATGTTAAGTTTCAATTATTTCATAATAAAAGGCAAACAATTTAGTTGAGATGTGTAAATGAGTCTACATCAAAAATATCCTTTGTTTAGTTGACAATTTACAGTTAGTTACATATTACGATTCTTTAAGTAATAATTGAAAAACGGGAGGAACTATGTAACTAGTTTAGTCGATCCTGAGGAATTGAGGCAGTTATTGAGACAACAATAACCTTTCAATTTATTAAATATACCTAATCAATTAGTACATCATTAGTGTATACCTTAGGGGCTACATATGTAAGAAAGACTTCAACAACTGCATAAAGTCAGATGGCAATATATTAGTACTCAAGTTTGACAAATGACAGACGACAGTAATTAACATACCTTCACGTTTTGCATACTCTTCAGCCGACATTTGGTAAGTTTCAACAGGTTCTTCAACCTGGTCATATGCCCCATCTTGTATTGTTGGATCTGTTACATGAATATGCGTTCCATCCTCAACGCCGAGATCATACAGTGATTTGTCATCACCGACTAGCTGACCCAGGGATTTATCCTCTTTATCAAACAACTCTATTTTCATTGTACGATTATCGCAACCTGTAACTAAAACTAGCTTCTCCTAAAATAAAAAGGACGAATTAATGGATTGAATAACGAATACCTTCAGTTGCCCTAAAGTTATATCAAGTGGATAACGTTTCTCAGATCTTAATTTTGATGCATTTGTAGTGATTGTAAGATTGGCGAAATTGGACATTTTTTGCACGATGTTGTCACTGCTGTTAACAAACTAATACAGAGTAAAGTGAAAGAACTGATTAAACAATCATTATTTTTTACTAAAAAATTTGATTCTCAATACAACAGCTATTGATGAATAAAATTTATTTCAAGTATATTTGAAAGAATGACTAATAAATATTAGTTTGAATAATATTTATGTATATGTCAGTAGTTATGTTTTAGGTGTATATGAAAACAGAACAGTAGTTTGGGTAAACGATAAATATTTTAAAAAGTTTTCAAAAGACCAATTTCAGCCTAGTTTGTAAAAGCCATAACTATTCGTAAATGAGCTAGTTATATCATGCATGATTCGAACCTATTGAATTATCACTACATTTTTGAGCCTAGTATACTTACCTCCTTCGGGTCTCTAGTTGTGATCATGGTTTTTGGGTTTGTTACACGAATAGCTAAGGCTTATTTTGACAGACAATCGGAGCCAGGTCTGCAGAGAGATCCAACGTTTGAATTACCATTGAGTGAAATAGTTGAGTGTGTCAACCGATTCATCTATATCGAGTCTCATTAGTTCTGATGGGCTGGTGTCTAATGAAATCTCGGCACGGATTCAGAAAGCCCGATTAAGTTCTGTCAATTTACACCACTTGTAGCATAGGTGAGATGTCACTACACCAAAGAAAGGATGAGTTTATTCACCGTAAATTCGTTTCATTTTACCTCATGTTTGTGAAACACGAATTTAGGAAGAGAGGATATTCGTAGGCTAATACCATTCGATCACATGTTTTTAGAAGCATTCCTCGTGCATTGTAAGACCAACGCGTAAACAATCCGTAGATTAGGATACTAGGTAAATATGGCAAATGGATTGATGAAGTAATAGATCTTCAACCAAGGTGGTTAGGAAATGTGTTACGCATGCCCAATCACCACCTACCTCGACAAGCGATTTTGTCTGATGTAGGTTGGAGAGCTAGGGAAGAACAAACAAAAACGTGCAATCAGTTTATGAAGCCATTGAGGATTGGACTACGTCATGTTAACAAATGTAGAAGACTTGGTTGGGATTCACATTATTGTGCCCAATATAGACTTTGAATCACTCATAATGACGTAGATGCATGAATTCTTTGTCTTCCTTTAGATCTTAGATTTCTAGATTCGTTATAAATAGGTTTACTTCACCAACTTAAATCTTTCCGAATCGCATCTCTGATACCTAGTCTTTTCTATCATCAGTAGTGCTTACTACCTCTACCAAGATGAGATTTGGCCTGATTATTTTACCTAGCAGTACTAACAGAGTATTACAACTTGGACCGATGTATTTACGTGTTAGGTTCTATCTTGCGTTTGACTGACTGACCGGATTTAATCACTAACAGAGACGTGACTAAATCCCCCCGTATAAGACAGTGAGCTAGTTTTTGAAAACTTTACAATAGAAAGGAAAGGTGGGGTTAAAAAGAGTGACGACGGTGTTTATCTAGGCTATATTAAATATATGAAGACCAAATAACTCATCAATTATACACGCAACAACCTAAATAGACTAATTCGAATTAGAATCCCCTGTGAAAACAGCTTGGTAAATCTACAGAAATTTACAAAAAAGCGTTACCGTACCATTTATATCATGAAAAATATCACACCTCATTACAACTCAACAAAAAAGTCTATCATTTTCCATGGTAGACAAAGAATGAGTAAAATGTAGGTCATTGAGAACTGACGAAACTAAGTCGCAGTACGGAAAAACGACAAACGCTTAGGTTCACTACCTACTAAGGTCCAGAAGAAAGAATGGAGCGAAACTTACGGAATCTTTAGTGCCTTAAAACACCTGTCTTTGCACATAAACCAGAAAGAAAGAGTGAGACGAAATATTCCAGCATTGTATGACAGTCCTACAGTATCACTAGGTACCAACGAGACCAAAAGGTATGGTAATAACGGACTATTTTAACAACAAGTATATAGCAGGGACTTTTTCATAGAAAGTCAAGTCATACTAACGGTAAAGATAAAGTATACTGGCGAACGACCCTGAGGTTTTGAGTTGCTTTAGCGAATCAGAGAGGAGCAGATATAAATGGGTTTTATTACAAAACCTATTATTTTCACGTGACTATTTATAAGTTGAGTGTAAGTCACTAAGTGGCAGAATTCAAAAAAAATACTTAGTTGTAAAGACTAATGGTTAGTAATTTCAATGTCACATAGTAGTTATAAACCCTACTTACAACCATAACCATAATCTTAACTTATTCTTAATTATCATGCTAAGCACAATTTCTTACTCAGATTTTAACATTAAACAGATTTCCAGATCACAATCCTTACCCTTACAAATACTGGTGGGGAATATCACCCGATCTCACGTCTCTGTAAACTCATCCACATCTGTTTTAATTTCGCACTCATAAGTAGTTAAAACCTAAGTGCTTTTTTCACTAGGACTGTTTATTAACTGAATCACGGTTGCCATCTCCGTTTTATGCAAGTTCAGCAAACGTTGATATATGCAGCATTATTTTTAATTCGGTATATCTATCCTGATTAGCTCAGTTGTATACTTTGGATTTATCTAAGCTACCTAAACTCTTGGCATCATGGCCATTCAAGAATTTGACGTACTTAGACTAATAAATAGGGTTTACCGTAGGTCACTAGGAGGAACATTCACTGTTTGTCGAAAACACTGTTTACGGTTTAACTTGTCTGTGACGTAGTGTAGATTATCCCGTCGAAGGAAAAACGCTTGAACGAGTTTTATTTTCTTATCATATATAATAATGGTTTTAAAAATTATCATGCTCTAAGTTAAACTAGCAAAGTTGTCAAGATGTTAGGAATTATTTGCAAGGAATTATTCGAAGATATAGATGTAAAGCAAGGCAGTGTGGTTTTAGAACAAGTATTTCATGGTTCACAAATGTATTAGCGGAATAAAAAAGTTGATGAGCCCTGACAGATTATAAGCTAATCATTTGCTTAGTCTTTGTTGATTAAATAAAGTACTTCGATAAAGTTTAACACATCATATCGTTATTTGCATCAAGCAATATCGGAATATAGGAAAATTTGCGTTTTGTTGTATGCTGAGTATATTAAGGTATCGAGAGCGATGCTAAGCAGAGGGTGAATTATGGGACACTAGGAAGATCTGAAGATATTAGCAAAATGATCTAGTCTCTTCAGATGAAACATGATGTATATTGACCACTAAGGTTTAAATAAATGCAGCGAATATAGTGAAGTCACCAACTCTTCAGACCCATTTGGTCAAGCTGTATATTTTTGCACATCTCGTAGCACCTGGCAAAGTTTTGTAACCCTTAATTCAGCACACACTTTACAATTCGCCAGACTACAACATATGGACAGACTAATCAGGTTTGAGATAGCAAGTCTTGGGTACTGGTTGGAAATTTATCTATGAATATGGTTAAATAACATTCTGACATGATAGCTGATGTCACATCGTGGAGAAACCCCCAACTCTAATTTCTAACTCCAAAATGCTACTCTACATCTTATAGTTGACTTTTCACACTAAGTTATAACCCTAGAAAGTAGGTAGGTACTCTCAAAGTCACTTGTGCATCTCTAAAAAGATCGTCCATAAACTGAAATCTCACCTGGTATATTTCGTACGGCAAGCCTAAAAACGTCGTTTAGATTGGTAAAAAATACAACGACAATTTTAAAAAGTGACCATATCATGTGCTTATTCACAAGAAAAAATTTCCACAACACTCACAACTACAGTCAACGATGTATTCCTGACGATCAAACAAAATGTGGTGCTTTCAGTAAACTCTGAAATTCCCGCCGTCTCAAAATCTAGCAGCTAACTTTTTCATAAGCTAGTTTAAACCAACTGTTCTCTTAGCGATTGCTTCTGGCTGATTCTATAAGGTTAGAGATATTAGGTAATCATTTCCAAGGCTTGATATGCATAATCACAAATGTATTACATGAAAGTAATCATCAAAACATGGTCTCATTACATTTTGATTGAGTCGATTGTTACAAGTAATGAAAAACTGTCACTCATCCTAACCTCGTTAAGTATGTTCGCCCACATAGTTTATCTTTATTTACATTTCTCATGTAACCAAATGGGTGATTCTATACCCATCAAGTGATCACTTTCGCAGGATATGATGGCTTTGTCGAACTGAACTTTAGCGAGATTTTGGCCGCACTGAGTTCAACAACTGAAACTAGTGCTTATCAAGATTCCATGAAACCATCTTTTTGTACTTTTTATCCCAACACTTAACATTACATTTATGATCAATGTAAATGTGTGGTTCATAAACTCGTACAAATAATTTTCCTGCATTTAGATTTGTCACTAATGATGGAACTTAATTCATCTTAAATTTGATTTCTTGGGCTATATACTTTCAAGGTTTACTTGATTTCAGTGGGGCGTACTTTGTGGAATTTTAAAGTAATGAGAATCAACTGATGGATTTGATTGGCTGCACTTTTTATGTTGGTTTTTCTAAACCATGTAGGCGGATGGACAGACTCCTAGGTAGTTAGGGGAGTTCGAGAACAAGTTTAGTAGTGGCACAAACCAGTCTGAGTTTGGCAATAATTAGAGTCATTCGAACACTGGACAGTTGCTTCTTTCTAGTCTGAGACTTCCCAGCACTTCATGCTCGCTACAACAGCTTAGCAGAAAAACCCTCAGGAATTCCATTTGGTGTTCATACGCGTAACGGTTAGTCAACTGACCCTGATCCTAATAGTGCGAAAAATTAGCTCCAGCCGACTACAATTAATTTCTATCTTCCCTCACCTTCGGAGAGTAAGTTCCACACTCCTGAAAAGGATTGAGTTTCACTGTTATCTGTTTCTCAGTGAAATTCCAGATATTTCATCAAGAGTCTGATCACCAGTGTGTAAATACATGAAGGTCCTCAAGTTTTGTTTAGCTCGAATGGGTTTGGGGTCATAATAAAATCTAATAATTTTGATAACCATGTGCTAAAAATTGTAAATGATTATAAAGGAAAGTACGAAAGTAATATGTTTGTTGAAGTGTAAAATATGAGCAAAAAATGATGAGATAATGCTCGAGTGTTCTTTGCATAAGACCCTAAAGTTATCTACTTTTATGAAGAGAACGCGATAAGTGTGATGGAAACATGTATTATAAAACCAAATTGTATCAGTGTTTGTTTTACTGTACCATTTTGTTTATCTGTAACAAAATCATACATTTTCCTGTCCCCTGTGACATTGAGCTTGCTCATGTACGCACGGTAGTCTCACCTATAAACCATGGCAGGATCTGGGAATAATTTGAATACCATTATGTCGCCAAAAAATATAAATTTACTCCTCGATCCTGTTCCTTTCCTCGTCTCAATCTTACAGGAGGATTTATTTTGGTATTTGGAACTTCACTGATCAGTGGTGGTGATAATAGTCTCGACTCGACACACCACAACTTCATGGGCAACAGTGGTTAATGCATTATCTATCGGGAAGAACATAATCATTATTTATTCTCAGACAGACGACTTGTGTTGTTTATCTAGGAGATGGCGAAAGAATTTTGAATTTCACTGGTAAGTAGAATATGGGTTACCATTTCTACCGACTCATTTTGCCTGGTTAAAATGTAGTTATTTCGCTTTTAAGGATAAAAACAGTTGGTTGAATAGCAACATTCATGAATATAATCATTTGTTCCAGCAAACGTATTACTGAATATTTGTCTGTTAGTACTGTGTCCCGTATGGCCTTTTTTCTCTTTGCATATAAACTAAAATAACACTGAGGTCACGCCGTGGCCACCATGCTTTGGCTACTCTATACCTTCTCCCATTTCTCTGACACGTTTCGGTATTACTCTGATACCACGAAATCGCCAGTAAATACACCAATTTTATTGGGTTTATCCCGTCTTGTTTCCTTCCATAAGA